TCGGAGATCGTTAGATAACATTAAGTGGCAACTCCATCCCCCAGCCTTGTGATCTACTGGAGAATCTATTCCTGTACACCGGACCACGTGTGTAGATTGTGCTGGAAGTTAATAAGCTGTTCTTGACAACTAGAACGTTTATTACTTCAAATAAAAGTCTGATTACTTGATAAATACGAAATCATATGTGAACTACCGGGCAAAATAAGTATACACTTAAAAACTGGTTTGACGGACAAATACAAATGTTTCAAAACCTTACTAGGCTGAAAACAGTTCCCAAAACGCTGCATACGTAAGGTTCTGTGCTTCGTTCCACAAAGCGATCGTAGCGCTAAGGTGATCGTAACTCCAATACCTAATATGGACTTACGACTGTCGTAGCGCTACGATCGCTTTGAGGGTCCAATACAGCTATAATACATAAAATACATCCTAATCGAATACTTGTTTGCTTCACTTTAAGCCACCCACCGCCTACGTGGTGTAGTGGTTAGAGCGTCCGCCCGGAGAGCGGAAGGTCGCGGGTTCGATCCCCGACCGCGTCATACCAAAAAGACGTCAAAATATGGTACTTGTTGGTCCCTGCCTGGCGTTCGGCATTAATGGGTACAACAAGGACTGGTCGGCTCGGAGTCAGTATAATGTGTCTGAGTGGGGTATTCATGCTTCACTGCGGCATGGTATCTCAGTGGGCTAGCACTATAAAACCAGCTTCAGTCTGGGCTAGTACAAGCAGCCGCACATTCACATACACACGCATGCACGTCGTCATATGAGCGAAATATTCTCCAGCACGACGTTAAACCCAATTTAACCTCACCTCACTTTAAGCCACCATCAATAATGGGTGTATACCTTCTGTTACATGGTCTGGGACATGGTCGCGTTGTCGCCCTTACGAAAACAAACAAAACTGGCAAATTAACCAAAATGCGACAATGCGACATTTTGGGCATTTGTTGCAATGTCGCATTTTCTCGTTTTGAATGATATTTTGTTTCTCAACCAAAGGGCGACAACGCGACAATGCGACAATGTCTCTTCTAGGATTCCATACCCGGCAGTTCAGTAAATTGCAGTGAGTTATAATGGTAGTTCACACAGTGTCAGAGATAAGTAGTCAAGCTATAAATAAATCGCAGGTAAACTAGTGGTTTCAGCATGAGCATATCCACGCCACGTGACAGTGTTCAATAGTTGCGGTAAAGGAGTGAGTGGTAGGAGTTTGGGGCAGCTTATAGCAACATTCCAGCAACAATACGGGACAGCAGAAATGGGTTTCACGCATTGTACCCATGTCACTGCACCTAAGGTGACGCACGCGTTACCAGCATCCCAACATGGCGGCAGGTAAGATCGCTTGGCGATTGATTATCCCCCTCGAATTAGCAGCCTTCAACGTGTATACAATCAACATTATTTAGCACACTGATAAACTTTGATGGTGGAAATACATTCAATGCACTGAATTTACTTATTAATGTCAATGTGTTGAAGAATAAGCATTTTTAAAATCGCGCAAGGATGTCGGTAACTCAAAGTCTGGATGTCGGTAACGTGCAATGAATGATGCTGGTAACGCATACTGTCTTGCTTTAGTCGGTAAACAGAAATTGTCGAGTTATGTTTAAACACAAAGGAGATACAAATATCAGTTCTTATGTTTTACACAGATGTGTACAGATGTGTATCTAACCTTCCGAGGATAACACTTAGTGAGGGCCACGATGGGATTTACTGTTAAGCGGAAAACGCCTTTAAAAACATTACGTTAGTGAAAAGTTTGTCTAACGATTTAACGTAAAAGGTTAAAATCTACGTTTAATCTCAGGTTTTGAAATGAAAATTGTAAAACCTCGCCACCAATTCTTGAATACTTTTGCCTGAAAACAGATTTGTTACGGTTAAACTGCGCTGGCTGAGTGGGTTAGATCGCTGACTTTAGTGTGCTGGCGATTACGTTCCTGACTGTGAGAGTGTGGGTTTGAATCTCTCATGGGCCCCGGCGTAACAAAAGCTCTAGAATGAATACTTTACTGAGAAAGTGTATTCCCAAATGTAACTTTGGTAAATTAGTAATGGTTAAGTCTTGCAGGAAGGAAAACAAAAAAAACGTTTAACATGTGCGCGAATGAAGGACATAGAGAGTACATGAACTCATTGGAGCGGAGCGTGTGCTCACTATCATAGGAACTGGATGATATTTGGAATGCACGTCATCAAATCAAAACAAAGTTCCGTTCAGAATACACGTTAACCTAATGTCCACCCGATATGCACGTGCACAGATACTGACGTTTTCACTGACGACATATAGTCCGTTTGGGTTCAAATGAGAACGACAAATGATTAAATTACTCGAAATTGGGATAAGTGCACAGAACATAAATATGACACGTGGTCCCGAAACCTCTGTACCCAACAGGATCTGAAATCTGACGTTTTTTGATCGATCACGGAAAGAGCTTTTCAAGAAACTATCATGAAATATTGTGCTATTTTCACGCTTCACACTGTGGGGTGACAAACGGCTGATGGAACATCGCCTGACACGCTGGGGTCATCTCACCTGGCTATGCCGAGCTGCACCTGAATGGCTGCTAATGCTGTTCCACCAGCCGTTTGTCACCCCTCGGTTTTTACACGTTTTTACCGAGTACATATATATAATGCAGAAAGACTGTTCATGACGTTTTCACCGACTACATATAATGCAGAAAGACTGTTCATGACGTTTTCACCGACTACATATAATGCAGAAAGACTGTTCATGACGTTTTCACCGACTACATATAATGCAGAAAGACTGTTTGTGACGTTTTCTCTGACTACATATAATGCAGAAAGACTGTTCGTGACGTTTTCACCGACTACATATAACGCGGAAAGACTGTTCGTGACGTTTTCACCGACTACATATAACGCGGAAAGACTGTCCATGACGTTTTCACTGACTACGCCGAAAACATACAGAATACTGCGGGTCCTGTGGAAATCTGTGCATGGTGACACCATCGCCCGACCTCTAGGAGCAATTGACGACAAAGCAACGATTCGGCATGTTGTCGTTGATGTCGAGAAATCATCAAAATGACGAGCGTGCTACACACTTTCTATACAACTAACTGAAAATCGTTCCTCATATGACGTCACTGCAGTGCTCTGGCGACAGAGTTACGTAACCTGTCTGTGGTTTCGTTGGCGGGCAAGAGTGAAACAGGCGACTTTTTGGCAACTTTTAATCGCTCGGTATTAATTAACCACAAGTTTTTAAAGAATGAATTTGGTGTTCCGCATAAGTCTAACCACAAATCTTTCATATGTAGTAGTTAAAAGAGTAAAAAAAACCAAAGTTTATTTGTTTTTTAAGGCCCCCAAATACACCGACTACTCACATGTGACACCCACGTAAAGTCCATCTTTTTCTACAACTGTACTGTAATCTAGACTTCGTCGTCTTTTTATCATTCACATATCTCCTAGTGTCTTAGTGTAACTTCTACATAATGCTCTCAGTGGTGTATAATTATTTTGGTTGCCATTGCGGTATGGCAACAAATGCCGCCTTCAGCCATGACCAAATGGGCTGCACGATCACAACGGGCAGACAGCCTTGGTTAATTACTGTAAAGTGTTCATAGGCATAACACATGACGGAAGGCCAGTCAGAGAAACTGTATATCCAGGGGAAGGGCTACGGAATAAAAGCACATATCCCTGAGTATGGATATTCCATGATGTTTTTAGCATCCTATTTATATGTCTTATCCAACATGTCAGTGATGAAGGGATTGGCATCCTTTTGAACAACCGTAACTTATAAGTACAATGTCTAAAGTGCATTCTGGGTATAGTTACGTAAAAGGAGGTAATTAAACTGGAACGAATATTTTATATGCTTTGGATGGATTGGTTGGTACGCTTAACTGATTGCAGTTGCTATAAACGCATATGGTGCATTTATTTCATGGTGGAAATCGATTTTTAATTAGTTTGATCAGATAGTCCATAAGACCTTGCTAAGCCGATAGAGCGTAACTGACGAGTCAACGGAAACATTGTCATGATGGTATTAAAGTGGGGTGAATGAAAGTGGGAGAAGGCTATCTTGTATAGATATAACCGTGGAAACGTGAGACCTGCCCTGTATAGATTTTGCCACGTAACATTACTGTTGTACCATGTGGCTAACACACGTAACAGAATGTGTCGATCTGTCTGTGTTGGACATGTGTGAGTGATTATATGGCCGCTTCATCATCATGTCTTATAGAACTTTAGCTTCCATAACCCGTTCTAGATATTGTCTACACATGTTTTGTAACTACGATATGTAACATAGATCCATTTAATAATTTAAATTAATTCTCGCAATTTGTTAAATCCAGAAAAAATGTATGCGTAGTGATATTCCGTATAAAAGTATTTTTAGCGGCAGGCCATCTCATACCAAGGGAGATAAGTCCGGGAAATGATTAAAATAAATCCCAAGATGGCCACCATCAAAATATTTTGGTGTTTCTTGTTACAAATTACTTAGAATTTGGTGGTTTTCTGTGACTGTTGTCATCACAGGTAGGTAGAATAAACCAAATTTGTAATTGTGAAGTAGATTTTGGTCTTTGAGATTCCTGATGCACGTCTTTTTCGCTAGTAACAGAATCTTTTTCAGCAAAAATTGCAAAAAATGTGACAGTCTGCTGATTGGCGAATGTCTCGCGATGCAGTAAAGTTGATCTTTCTTTAATTTTTCTTCATGTCATCATTCTCGATTAATCGTCCGGGCGTTAGCACATATATGTAGTTTAGTGATAGTGTGTCTGATCAAATATACAAACTTACCAAAAATATTGATCAGGCCTGGGATTTCCTCACACATTTCTAGCCGAGGGTTTAGCAGACGAACTGGTTTGTTTCGGAGACATGTCGAATCAGTTTTGAATTGTTGTCTTTGTTTTTGTAATTACTGAGGAGATAACTTTAGTTTGATTTAAATAAATCCCAAGATGGCCACCACCAAAATATTTTGGTGTTTCTTGTTACAAATTACTTAGAATTTGGTGGTTTTCTGTGGCTGTTGTCATCACAGGTAGGTAGAATAAACCAAATTTGTAATTGTGAAGTAGATTTTGGTCTTTGAGATTCCTGATGCACGTCTTTTTCGCTAGTAACAGGATCTTTTTCAGCAAAATTGATAAAATAGATAATTGCAATTTATTACAAATATCATTTTCAAGTTTATGTGCAAATACTAATTATAACAAGTCAAACATGGGTCATTAATAGGCTTATTTGGAGCTTTGGAGCCCTATTTTTAGTGATACACTTGGGTGAAGCTATATTTGTAGCATTATAAACATGGTGGGTAGGAGTCCGGAACAATAGATATATTGAGTGACAGTAATTGTGGCCATGCAGTGGCAGAACTGATGTCACTTTGCCAATGCGCCATAGGGGTCTATCAACCAAACCGTTAGGCTGTGTGTGGTAAGCTGGGACACTGTCAACTTGATCAGGTCATGTAAATTATATATTTTTATTGTTTCATTGAATATGATAAATAATATGTCCGCTGGCTCGACATTTATGAACATTTATGAACATTTATGCACTTATGAACAATACATTCATTACCTCATAATCATGATCCATATCGTAATCGCCTGATAATGTATTCATTGCTGCCCAAGTGTTCATGTATTGCAAGTCTTGTGAGACCAGTACCCGTGAAGGTCCTGGTTAGAATTGATCTTCAGCAACCCATGCTTGTCGTAAAGGCGACCAACGGGATCAGGCTCACGTGACTTGGTTGGCACATGTCCCCAGTTGCACAGATCAATGCTCATGCTATTGATCACTGGATTGTCAGGTCCAGACTCGATTATTTACAGACCGCCGTCATATAGCTGGAATATTGCTGAGTGTGGCGTAAAACTAAACTCACTCACTCACTCACTTGTAAGACCAGCATTACACCTGATCATGACCAAGATCCCTTTTTCAAATTTTGTCTTTAACCATATTATTATTGATGTTTCATCAACTATTGATTTTATGGAAAAACAGACTGTGATGTTGTAATCAATTAAAACTTGTCGCTCATTGCAGGTATCCATACTGTAAAATTTCAAATAGCATACTGTATTCATATTGATGAATGTTTTATTTTGTCTTTTCTGTCTGTATTTTAGGCATGATGGCGAGGTTTGATTTCAGCCGTAGTGTAATGGAGAAGATTCTGAGGCGAGCTTTCCTTGACGGAGTCATCGAGCTGTACGAAAACTCTCCAGATGGGCGAATCCATTCTGTTGCCCTAGAAGGGACACTGTCATTAACCATCAACAAAACAGATTCATTTAACATTAAGTTGTATGAAATTGCCCAACGAGCACAAGAAATCGACAGTGACAGAAAGGACCACCATCATCTGTCCGTGGTCGCGGGTCACTCTCAACCCTCGTCCCCTGCTCCTGTGTCCAGCAGCGAAGTTGCCAAAGCCAAAGTGAAAATTGAACCCGACGAGAAACAGGAAATAAAATACTCTTGTACAGGAAAGGACATTTCAGAGCATGACTGTGATACTCATCCATGTGATTCTCATCGAACTTTGAAAGAAATTTTGAATAGGAGAAACATTTCTGAAATTGCTCATGATTTAAGTAAAAGCAAGAACTCGGCCAGTGTGGAAAAAGAATCTCGATCTCGAGAACAGTCACCTTTATCACCGGGACTTAGTTTAGGAAAAGAAACCACACCGTCATGGCTGTCTGTTTTGGACAAAGTTGAAAAACAGTCTACATCTTGTTCCGATGTTTTACGGAATATTGTCAGAACAGCTTCCAGTGAGCCCAAAGAAGGATATTCCCCTTCCCTTCCTCGAACTCAAGATGTAAAAAATCGATATGCCATGCAGATGTCATTGTCAGATAGCGTGAAGACAACTGAGTCATTAGATTCGCAGTTGAAGAGCGATAGAAATTCTGGTGCTGGAGATAGACATCAACAGCCGGAGATGTCTGAAAGATGTAGCGAAGATGTGGAGCTGGAGAGAATGGCAGACAAACATAGGCGTGACCAGGAAACTGAAGACAGCGATGAAGGTTTGAAATTAGTTTTGTATGCAGTGTTCACGAATTGTTTGATTAAAATGTCAGGACCTAAAAGTTTGATTTAAAAATTAAAATTGAAAATATGGGGACATCAAAGAATAGAGGTGGTAGAAAGGGTCTGTGTAATCATTATCTTGGTAGAGACATAAACACTCCAAATGTAATGGCTTTAGGGGAATGTGCATGATACCCATTGCTGAAGTGCATTATTGAATTTAAATACTGGCTAAAACTACTTCACATGCCACCCAATAGACTCCTGCATAAGGCTTACTTAATCTTGATTTAGAAGGTAGATAGAAATGGAAAAGTAATGTTGAACATGTTTTATTTAGTTCACGTCTTGGTTATGCTTGAGTCTACTAAAACCCTTGACAAGCGTGTTGTGAAAAATATTTTGCTTTGTTTAATTTGGATTTTTAAGTTTGTATTTTCTTAAGTTGAGACATATTTTATTATTGTATATTAACATGGCATTTGGCTGCCTGTTGTCTTGTGGATAGAGCATCTACTTATAAAGACCATAATTTGTTTTTTATTATCCTTGCGTAAAAAAAACCCATGAAGATACATGGTTAGAATTGGACTTCAGTAACCCATGCTTGTTGTAAGAGGCAACTGACGGGATCGGGTGGTCAGGCTCGCTGACTTGGTTGAAACATGAATCCTAATTGCGCAGATCAATGCTTATGCTGTTGATCACTGGATTGTCTGGTCCAGACTTGATTATTTACAAACCGCGGCCATGTAGCTGGAATATTGCTGAGTGCAGCAAGCAACATTCAAACAAACGTTAATCGCAAACTTCTACTTGAAATTAATCACTGATAGTCAAGTGGTTATTCCTCCCTGATAAATTTTCAACAGAGCAATTTATATATTTAAATGTGCTTTGTATGGGGAAAACTGAACCCGGTTGAGAACATTTTCTCAAATTTCATTTATATACGTTGATGTCAGGATTTGTATTTTGTTAAAACAAGATTGATAAATAAAAAGGATGTGCAGCATAAAACTAAACTCACTCACTAAGCGGGATATTGTTCGTGAACTGCGGCATGGTATATCAGTAGGTCAGCACTATAAAGTCATCATTATTCCTGACTGGTACAAGCATATTACTGAACATATGCAGCAATCCTGACCACAGTGTTGACCCTCACACCCACGTCAGGGCTCGATTTAGTGCTTTGTTACTTGCACTGGTGTAACCCAAAATTACAACCTAGTTATTAGTCTAACTTGCACCAGGTGCAAGTCAATTTTTGAGAAATATATCAGCAATTAATCTAACATTATAAGCATAATTATGTCAGCTCAATTTTCTTCTAAACTTTAAATAATTAAATAGCACATTTCTTTCATTACATATTGCAATAACAGCAGTGCAACTGGAATATGGCTAGAGCAACTAGGATTTTATCTTAGGTTGCACCTGGTGCAAGTTGGTTGCCCTATCTTAAATCGAGCCCTGCACATGCTGAGTTAATCCTGTTCATGTTCCTGCTTCAGTAATGTCCAATCTAACTACTTTCAGAACCTGATCTGATTGTGATAGAAGATGATGAGGAAGTCACAGTGAAGAAGGAGACCACAGACTCCTCCAAGTCTTGTTCCAACAGTAAGGATCTCACTGCCATTGAACCTGGGGAGGTATGGAGTGGAGCTAAACCACCCCTTATGTCCCCGCTAGACGACCAACACACTCTCCCTGAGATGTTTGTCACAGCTTGCCCGCTCTGTCAGGTGTTCTGCCAAGGCCGGGAAGTGTTCCTGATGCACGTGGATGCCCATCGCCAGAGCTACGAACGTGTTTGTCTCATCTGTTCCCAAGCTACCCTTCCCCTTGAGAGCCTTCTCTTTCACCTTGTTTCGATCACGGTCCCCGAAGTCCCACTGCTCTCTTACAGCAGAGTCAGCTGGTAGCCACTGCTGAGTCCACGGGGGAGATCAAGTGCTACCAGTGTGACCGTAGCTTCTCCACCATGGCGTTGCTGGAGCAGCATCTCGAGTCCCATGCCAGTCCCGTATCCCAGTCTAGTCCCAAGATGCCTGACATCAGCGCAGGAATGAGCAGCTATAGCTGTGAACTTTGTGGGGAGGTCTTCCTCGATCCAGGTCTCTTAGCAAATCATCATCGGAGGCAGCATATGGGTCAGTCAACATCAGTAGTCATCACGGATGAGGATTCTCAAGGTATGTCCGAATGTGGAGCAGACCATGACGAAGGTGGATCAACGTCTGGAACTCCCAACAAACCCCTCCCCTTCCTTTGCCAGCACTGTGTCCGGTCATTCCGGTCATGGAGGAGTCTGAAATACCATCTCCTCACCTGTCACGGACTTCAACATTCGTGTGACGTCTGCATGGATGCCTTCCCGACCATGCTCTCGCTTCAGCAGCATGAACTGAGTCACAATGACAATACAACCAAGCCTGTCTACAGATGCACCATCTGCAACAAGATGTTCGGCTCACTCACACACTGCACGTCGCACAAGCGAGTCCACACAACATCGAAGCCCCACGTCTGTGATACCTGTGGCAGCTCGTTCTTCAAGCGAGGCGACCTCACCAAGCATGTCCGCACAGTGCATTGCCCCAACAAGCATTTTGTGTGCAAGGTCTGTGGTCGTACTGGCACAAGGGCAGACAACATGCGAGTACACGTCAAGATACATCAGAAGTTCATGACCCGTGATCAGATTGACCTCCTCATCGATGAGGTGTACAAAACTTAAACTGCCATGAACATAAATTGGTGCAGAAACCAACAGATTGTTTCTCAAATATGCTGCAGCTGTGAGACTTTGTTATTAATATATATTGCTATTATTTTGGTTTACTTTATGCCAAACAATATGAACATTATTGATTTTTTCCAATATATTCTGTCTTTCAAATTTTTTCAGAAATGCTTTATATATTTCACATCTCAGAAGAATGTAGATTTTGGTCAAGCAAATAGCCATTGTTCAGGGAAGGGGAAAAGTTTATGGTTCTTTACCTTACCTTCTCTGTAGTTTTTTGTAAAAAATCAGAAAATAATTTAGCCTTGTTTCACTACAATGTTGAAGAACTAGGACAGTGACAAAACACCTCACATTTGGTGTATCGTGATATGTTGTCACATAGGATACGAAAAGTATATTTAAGGTGACAATTAAATGAACATTATACTATAGATTTCAATTTCTATGTGGAAGATATCACATGCCATTGTTTATCAAATTACCAGTAATTTGTATTTAATTCAGTTAAATTCCTTCGATGATGGAAGAGCTTCCCCAACATGTCAAATTTCGGGTGTCTTGTGTCGTATCGCTGCCATACTGTAAGATATGTATCATATCACGTTTCTGTCAAGATACGTATCGTGATCAAATCACAAGTGTCATCACCATGGTTACAACCCTGGTAGTAAGTTATTTTAGGTTAATGCAGGCGACAATTTGTTGAAAACTATTACATGAATTTATTATATTACTTGTTAATATTATCAACTTTCTATGAACATTATTTATTTGGCATAATTTTCAGTCTTTTTAAGATGTCTTGCATGAATATCTATTTAGTCTTTTTGAAATTGGGCATTTGATAACCATGCTTGTATTCTTATCAAACTGGTCTTTTTCTGAGATATTTAATGATAACATAAGCGATATGCATGACATTTACCATGGATAATGTTGCCATGGTTACTGTCAATATGCATGTCCAGCTTATATATGCAAAGCCAGACAGCTTAGAAACCTAAATCTATACAAACTGCTTTTGAACTATTGTCTCATATGAGGCATGTTTTGTTTGGGAATATTTAGTTAATGGGCTATGACTCTGTTTTGAGAAGATATTCAATCTAGTTAGCAAAATGAGATGTTATTTTACAGTTACACTGGTTACCATGGTAACCAGAATGGGTTTTTATCTAAATACATTCTTTGTTGAATTGAGCTGCCATAATTTGTATCCATATGATATACCTTTTTACTTGTTGTTTGCATTTATCATGTTTATACAGAGTTGTGTATTTATTTGGATTGAATAATGTTACTGCATGTGGTGTGTTTTCTAGTCAGATTATGAATATGATATAAATATTTAAGGATAGTTATACGTTTATCACCCTCTATATTTCCAGGGCACACATTTCTGTCAGCCTACAATTACCCCATGATCCGTTCCCGTGTTTCTTGTGACCTTATAGTCAGGCCCGCTGACTTGGTCGACACATGTCATTGGTTCCCAATTGCCCAGGTCGATGCTCATGTTGTTGATCACTGGATTGTCTGGTCCAGATCCGATTATTTACAGACCGCCGTCATATAGCTGGAATATTGCTGAGTGGCATAAAACTAAATTCACTCACTCTTGTGACCTCACATTCACCTGACCTTGACATTACATGACCTTGACCTCATGACATTTTACCGACCTATGAAACATGGGAAGACATTGAAAGAAATGGGAAAGACATTAAGTCATCGTTTCCATTGGAAAGACTTTTAGGGTTTTAGTGGGGTTAGAGGAAGTACGCTGAAATATGAGCCCTAGACATATAGAGGGTGTTTGTTTATAGTTTTATCATTTGTTGAAAGTTGCAATACTGAAACTCATGCATATGCCTGGTACATAGCAGACTGAAATACTAACAACAGATCACTTTATGTTATGTATCACCAGACTGAACACCCTACAAAGTGGGGCTGATAGTGTCCAATATGAATATTCAGGTACATGATCCCGAACTCTGTAGATCTTCAGAGTTGGGTGCAAGTGTCTGATTTTGTATTTGTTTGACTGGAACCCTGCAAAAGCTCTCCACGTTGATGTACAAAACAATCTGTATATGCTAAAGTTTACTCAAACCATTATAAGTCAGAGAGTGATATGAACATTCAGGGCTCTATTTAGTGCTTTGTTACTTGCACTGGTGCAACCCAATATTACAAAGTGCAACCTAGTTATTAGTTGAACTTGCACCAGGTGCAACTCAATTTTTGAGTGTGTAAACTCTGAATAAAACATCTAAATAATTTAATAGCATATTTCTTGCATTACATATTGCAATAAAAGCAGTGCAACTTGAATCTGGCTGGTGCAACTAGGTTTTTTATCTTAGGTTGCACCTGGTGCAAGTAGGTTAACATCTCTTAGATTGAGCCCTGACATTTAATGTTGTGTCACCATGGAGGTTTACTGTTAGCATCATTAAACAAGACATCGCATGACTAACCACGGAACAGGTTGTCCTTGAGGTCCCACCCTATCCTAATACCAAAGTTGCGTGCCAGTCCGCTTAAATTCTCCCCTATGTCGTAGAAACAAAATTTGTACAGTGAGATAAGTCCCTCCCAGTGTACCAATAGGTTTTGTCAATCACTAACAGTAAACATCATGAAATGAACCAAACTGGAATCAGTTGTCTGGAATTTATCTTGGTAGCACTGTATGTGCCATGGGTTATTTATTGGGAATATGGTTGATTTATGTCAGGGATAAATATATATTTAAACTAACATTGTTTGAGATGTGTTAGATGTGTGATATTTCACTAAATTGTATGTTTATGGTTGATAATGGATTAGAAATCTAATATTTGATAAATCGCACTGCCATGTGAAGAACGGACCTTAAACAAAGGACAGTGCCTCACTCACTCTCTCATTCTTTATAGAGAAATGTAGTGGATACAAGACTTTGATGACGAAATGGCTAGGAAATTAAACTTGTCTGTAAAAAGCTCTCATAGAATCCTATATGTATCTCCACCCACTGAAAAGGTTGTCAGGAATTCTGTGACCTGTCCTTCCTGGATTGTGCGGTTGCAGAATACATCGCGGAAATTACCTTTTGATGCAGGAAAACGTCTTGTCCGTGGAAAACGCATTTTCATGCAGAATACCTGCAGAATTTGTCATTTTTCTGCTGCGGAATTTACTTTTTGTTTGAAAGGTAATCTTTTCTTAAGCACCTTACTATGATATTATTTGAATTTGACACTGCAATTATGTTCACAAAATCGATCTTTTGGAAGATTGAAATTTCATTATTTTGTTGGGTTTTTTTCAAGTTTTTAACTGCAGAAGTTTTTGCAGAATTTTGAAAAATGTGATGAAAAATTTACTTAAATTTGCCATGCAATTCTAAAAGAATTGTCGTGGAATCCAGGAGGGACTGTGTGATGTTTCTAAAATTTAGGTAAGTTAACAATATCATCAAAAAAGAGAAATTTAGGTAGGTCACAGAGTGGTACAATCGACACATCTCTATAATGAGGAACAATGTTTCGGAGTGTATATATTGTGTTCCTCAGGATAAGGAAGTTGACATCCATAAACTCTCTTCCTTATGGGCATCACTTCTAAATGCTATTCAAAGACCAGACAAATCTCTGTGTGAAAATTTGTTTATGCAAACCATGTTGTAGTCTTGGTCCCAAATGTTTGTCGTATTTAGTTTTCGTAAACAGATGCCAGTGAATCAAACAAGTGCAGCTGTATGTCATGTATATATACTATTCACACTTTGCTAAGGATCAAATCTTGGATTCAGCAGAAAACTATGATGTGGGGTCAAATTTGGTTGAAATATCTAAGCTTATTGTAAGTTCCTAGGTTTCCGTATGTCATTTAATCTTGTGGATCCCATACCTGCTTTTAACAGGTGTTGTGTACTTGTCAATGACTCCATGATTTGCAAAATGGTTGATTGGTACCATGAAAACCATTTTTATGGTTACTCATGTATTAAGTGCATAATGTAGATTAAAGTGACTGTTTGCCTCAAGAGGTGTTACCATATTATTATTTATCCAGTTTTAAATGGATACAATTTCATATTATAAATATACGTTTAAGTAAAGTTGTGAATTTTTGTGATCCTTATCAAAGTGTGAGTAGTATATTACAAGTAACATCCAGGGATTAACCACCCTTCCCATGGATTGACACTGAGAAATGACTAAGCTTACATATCCGCTGCCAAGAGAGTTTGCACAAAGTCAGTACTAAGACACTGTCGATACACCGCCATCATTTTAGTCCTTCATTGCTGCATGGATTGGTTTAGGTTTATGTAATTACAACTCTTGAGTACAAGCAGTGTGCGAAATAGCCACTGGCCCATTAGCCCGTTGCTAGTAAAAATCCAGTTGGGCCAGTAAATCTCCACAGGCACTGGCCTGACTGGCTGGTGAATTTTCATGTGGTCATTTTGTAAATGTATCACTCTCTCCGACTTGTTAAGTTATAATACACTTTTAAACATGCAAGATTATGGCCTGATAAAAATGTTCATCATATTACCAGCTTAATGATGAAACTCGTGTCTACATTCAAATTTTGGGCTAGTGAATTATTTTGTGGGCTAGTAACATTCCCACATAGCTAGCCCGACTGGCAAGCAAAATTTGGAAACTATTTCGCAGACTGAATACAAGTCATCGTCACAAGTAGTGCTGATATGTGTTGAAAGATTGATGGAAATATGTCAACAGTGCTTGGTCTCTGAGCGTGAGTTAGTCTCCATCACAGCCAAAATATATGATCAAAAGTTAACTACTAGAGTTCATAGAATGGATGTTCAGCATGAATGTAAAATCGCTAAACTAGTTGCTACACAAACAGGGATTTTCTTATCATGAGATCATTCAGTTTTTTTTTGTTCTGTTAATTTCATGATAGGTCAAATATATTTGAGTAGTAACGTTGTGAAGGTCAGTTTACTTTCAGGAAAAACTTCTTGTTTATATTTCTGTTTAATATCTCACTCAGCAATTTCCAGCTATATGAAAACATGTCCGTTAATCAAATCTAGGCTAGAAGAACATGTGGTTGATATTATGAACGATTCATGTGGTTTGTGTTGGAAAAACTTAAAAGTGTGTTTCAAATTAGAACGAATGGCTTTAGTTCAAGGTGTATTTCAGTGGCATAACCTGAACCCAAAGTCCAATTGATGTTGTTAACAAGTGTTCATGGATTTGTCTGGTCAAGATTTAATGATTCAGTGGTCATTCGGTACAGATAGTCCACAGTGTCATTAATCAACAAACATATCTTACACACAACAATCTTCTAACTGTCCTGCAGTAAAGTCTTCCTGCTCATGTAAGGACTCTAACCTTGGAC